TTGAAATGGTGTGTTTTCAGACAGGATTTAAAAGTAGAAAGTCAGTATTGTGAATGTTGTTGGGGGGTGAGTTCCAGAGGCGGGGGTCAGAACACTGAAGGCTCTAGAACCCATGGTAGACAAGCGGGCAGATGGTGATGCGAGTTGGATTGCAGAAGAGGATCTAAGAGTATGGGAGGTTGTGTAGATATGAAGGAGTTCAGACAGGTAGGAAGGGGATTGATTATGAAGGGCGTTAAAGGTGAGAAGCAGAATCTTGAAGTCTTGAGCACTGAGCAACGCTGGCAGTTTTGCATATGCACTGTGCAAAGGTGAAGGGTCAAGTGTAGAGTGGTGGCTCCCTGACGAATGCATCATGCCGTCAGAGCAGTTATGATGAAAGAATAAAGGGGTGGGACTGATCAAAGGGGGTTCAAGTAAACTTAATTGTGCAGCCCTAATCACCATTCAGCCTGCTCATCATCTGTATGCAAGTGACTTATCCTCTGCTTCGTCTTGTCCTCCTCCCTCATGTAAACCAGGATATAGGCAAACAGGTGCGGTGCTACAAGAATCGCTACATTCGGATAGAGAAGCCCCCCACGTGTAAGCTGGATGAGGGGACGTATCGTCTCCTGAGCGAGCCAGAGGGAGAGATCAAACCTGAGGTGTGTCTCTTTGCATATGCATGTGTGTGCTCATGTGCAGTCATTTATATTGCAGCTTGAAAACCAAACATACGGTATATGCATTGACTTTACAGTTAAATTGTGTTTAATTATATTTATGTGTGTGTGTGTGTGCAGGATTTGAAATTCACCCTGGCTGTGACCAAGATGAAAGGCTACTTTGAAGCTTTTTTTGAGCAGCCTCCTCCCTTTAAATTGTCTCTCATAGACATTAACACTGAGGAGACGGTATGGTCCGCCACCATCAGAGAAGGTACTGGTGCATTCAGTCTCACATTGAACTCTTTTGGTGATTTGCAGGTGAAACAAACATCTAGGAGTTGAGGCTAGAGTCAGACTATTGTTTGTTTGAAAAGTCAGAATTTTTGTGTTTGTCGGACAGCTGACAGTAACAGCAAACAAAGATTTTATCTGCAAATAACATATTTCTGTATTACAGAGTTTGTGTGCATGAGTGTAATTTGCTCCAGAGTGGTGATGACTATCTTTTTCTGTCTACTCTTAGGTGACTGTGTGGATAACATAGAAAAGAAGCCAAAGAAAAGGACGAACAGTAAGCTTGTTTTTTATCAGATTGTTGTTCTCCATTGGGGTATGTTTGCAGCTTCTGCAGGTTGACTCACATCCCGAATTTCTTTTATAGGCAGACAGAGGAGCAGCAGCCCCTCTGAAGATGAAATGGCCTGTAAAAGGCCTCGATGGCAGGATGAGTCAGGTGACTTTTCATGTCTTTTACTAACGTCTGAGTGTCTTTTACACACTTTGTTTCTGCCCCCGATCAAGTCAACATAAACCAGTCCACACAGGAACTATTTCCAGATGCACCTGTCTGTCTAAAATTATACTGAAACAAAGTACCTGTGTGTGCTGTGCATCCTTTTCCAGATGGAGTGAAAACAGTGATGACTCAGGGCCAAGACATGTCAGAGAAGCAGCTACTGCAGGTGGCCAAGCGGCTCGGGAAGGAGTGGAAGCAGGTGGCCATCTATCTAGACTTGAACTCCAGGGAGCTGGATGACATCCAGGCAGTGGAGAAAGATGTGACCATGCAGAAGCTGAAGATGCTGGTGGAGTGGAAGAGCAGAAGGCGGCCGGGAGAGGCCACGCCGTACCACCTGCGGAAAAGTTTGGAGGAACTGGATGACTTGCCAAATGAGGTTCATCAGACACTGCAAGGTAATAAACTGCTAACATGTAAACACCTTGTAATAGATGATGGATGACCATTCAAAACAATTACTAAACAGTGACAACTGGCCATAATTTTGATTATTCAAAAATCATTTATATATATATATATATAAAAAAAAAAAAAAACAAGATTGAGAGTCTGGAGCCATGCTAGCAGATCTGTGAGGCTTTTAGCATAGTGGGGCTTTGAGCTAAATGCAGAGGATCACCAAAGTTATTACATTTCATCCTGAGGTAGACATGAATGTGTGTAGCAGATTTCATTGTAATCACCCAGTAGTGGTTGAGATATTTCTAGGGCTGGGTGCTAGATGGAAATAACCCAGTGGTATGGAACCGTCCTCAAACAATACCTACATTCAATCAGGTTGTGCCAGGGGAGTGATCCGGGACTGTCCTGACTATGAGCTAAGCTCATAGCTCGGCTAATCAGTCAAGTTGGACTTCTCTTGTCTGAGTACACATGCAGAAGAGAAGATCGAAGTATGTCTGACGCCGCCTCGATAGGTAGCGCTGTGTCCTTTTTGATATAGTGCGTATTGAACTAGTTCCAGTTGATCCGAAGAGGAATCTAACGACGAATGAAGATGGCAGAGCATGAATGTGGTTTCTTTGTCCATCCAGAAGTGCATCTTCTGCTTCTTGGTTGCCATGGTGTTTGTTTGTTTGTTTTTCCGGGAGTTACTGCACTGCTATATACTGAACTGCTGCTACATCATCTCCTTTTTCTTCCAGGTGAAAGCCCCACGAAAGAAAAAGTGGTTAGTTTGATTTTCAATTGAATTATCTAGGTGTGTTAGACGAGCTACGGATAATCCAATTTCAGTCAGACTAAGCTGTTAACATGCATTTAAAAGTCCAGGTTCAGTCGGACAAAGCCAATAATTCGATTTTCTCAAGCTGCATGTAAACGTACTGACTGACGCTAAAATGGCTCAACTCTGTTGCTAGGCCCGTTTATAACTGTTGGGTAACGCTGGCCGTGTCATTCTAACAGTTAGTCCTGTCACTGTGGCTGGTGAACGCTCACAACTGGCCCTGGTGCGGAGCCCACACAGTACAGTCCACGGTGTGGTGAAGTCAAGCATGCTGTATTTGATGGTGTTGGGAGTTCAGGGATGCCACCAAAACATTTGAAAGTATGGCTATACCACACGCCACTCCTTTCACATTATGGGTAAGGGTCCTGGTATTGGTAATGGTATAGTAACGATACCCAGCCCTAGACCAGGGTGTATCCAGGTCCTTAAAAAGTCTTAGATGCCTTAAATTAAGGTTTCTCAATATAAGGTCTTAAAAAGTCTTAAGTTGTCTGAAATTCAGATTCGTGGGTCTTGAATATTTTTGGTCACATTACCGCAAAAATTTCTCACCAGTATTGCTGCAATATAGTGAGAGCAGATCTGTGACTGAAAGATCCAGGTTCCAGCAGATGTGGTCTGTCGTATGTTGGGCTTATATACAGTATAACTTGTAATAGGCACTTGTGCTTCCTTAGGATTTCAACTCTGTTTGATCAAGTATACATCGATGGATCTGCCATAGCTTTGATGAACAGACAAATTATTGTGTGATGTTTTTGTCGTCTTTTTTCAGACATGATAGACAATCGAGCAGCTAAGTGAAAAGGATCTGGGTTACATTGACCTTTGGATATCTGTTGCTACGTCATCAGGAAAAAAAAAAAACTCTCAGGAATACAACAAAGCAGAGATCACCTGTGGACCAAACGTCAGCTCTTCTTCCAGTTTGTGTTTCTCTTTTGAATATTTTTTGCATATGAAACTGTTTGAACTTTGGATGGGCATTTTCCCTAATTTGTTCACGTGTGGTCCTTTGGTTCTGTAATGAATACAGAAGCTAAAGCTTTTATTTGTGTAACCACAATTTGATGCTTAGCATTTCCAGGTTCAACAATGACCAGCAGAGGTGTAGAGGTCATTGAGATATATGGTAGCTAATTATGTAGCCAGTATGTAAATGTAGATGCTGCAGTGTTGAAACTGCAAAAAATGGGAAAAATCCAACCTGTGTTTCACTTGTATATGTTCTGTTTGTGGGACTTTTATCAAACACTTTGGCATTACATCACATGTAGGTGACTGTCCGAAGCATTATGAACTGAAGTACTGAGTTAGTGTCTCAAACATTTTTATATGTGTCCTGTACATATCTTTTTTTTACCAACTGTTTCAAACTTATGATCTATTTTTTTAAGTCTGTTTTTTTCTATTTGTGTTTTATTTGACATCATGTTTATTTTGTTTAACTTGAAATCATTCCTGCCGTCCTGTGACCAGAACGCACATCTTGTAAAGTATAAATGTTTGTATGTGATACAAAAGTGTACAGTAATGGAAAAAAAATAATCAGATGCATTTGGTTTCAGGGCTGAATTTAACTGTTCTACCTGTGAGTGCAGCCAACATTTCATAGTTGTCGAGCTTCAAGCACAATAACAAACTATACTGAAGCTGCCTATGGAAACATTTCAGTTAAATTTCCTCAACATCTCTACATTAGTCACAGCTTTGTTTCTGTCTTACTTATTTTCAAACACTATTGGGGAAAAGCTGCAGAGATGACGTCTGGATTGTCGAATTTTTTAGGGTCTTCCACGACGATACCACGCAGTCATGTTTACATTCAGAGAAAAGGGTTGCTTCTTTAAACAACCTGCCAACAACAATCCAGTCTGTCCTTTTTTTTGCACTTGTTTCTATCAGTCCCTCCAGAGAATTGTAGAGTAATTGTAAAGAAGCAAATGTCGACTGAATAAAACAAGAGATTCTTTTTACTTATTTTAAGTGTTGTCACTTCCATTTTTATTTGCACCCAGTTTCAGTTCAAATAATCACTTCCACCTCTGCATTTGATAAAATACTTTATTATAAATAATAATAAATAACACCACAGGCCATCAAATAAATAAATAAATAGATATAATAAATAGATGTCAAATAAATAGATACATTCCCCCAAATATTGGAATACATTCATACATTTAAGCAGGCCAACATGGCCTCCACTGCTAACTTTGGCAACAATTCGACTGTCACTCAGCTCTCACTGAGGCCAGCTAGCTTATGCCTGCGCAGTGATCATGCAGACGTTTGCAGCATGTGCAATGTAAAGCACGACTTGGTGAGTAGTTGTCATGGTAGTGAATGATCAGGAAGGTTTGTTCAGATAAAGAAGATGAGACATTGTGGTATTGGTTGGAATGATGGTGATGATGATGATGATGATGAGGTTGCAGGGTGTTTACTTTCTGTGGTCTCCTGAGGAGATGTAGCCCATGGCTCGGTTGAAGGTGATGGTTCGGACATGGAAGGCCCTCATCATCTTACACATCTTCTGTCTGTTACTGAAGCTGTCATTTCCCCACGTATGAGCCAGATCCTCCTAAAAGACAACATGAATGCACAATAATGAGCTCCCAGTTTCACGCACACACACACACACACACACACACACACACACACAAAACCTAACTGCATATCTTAGAAAAATCTTTACAAAGACAGATTTTACTTCAGTTTTCCTCTTAAAAAGATTTTGCGTATTAGGGAACAAACAAAAAGGGCAGAGAAAAGTACCTTTGAAGTGTCGTTCCCTCCATCAGGCATCAGGGAACAGTTCTGTATAAACCAAAGAAGATTTCATCAGGCGACTTTCAAATGTTATTTCCCAAGAGATTCTCTCTCTCACTAGTTCTGTCTCAAAATCATGACTCTGTTTTTACCCCTCCCACACATGCATAACACACACACCTTCCTCAGGCTGTGAATTATTCCCAGAGTTGTGTTCAGAAGTGCAGCTTCTCCCTCAGGATCTCTGATTGTGGAGTTGCGGTAGGACTCAATAACAGCAGTGTAGTGTGCCAAGTCCTTCATGATGTTTCTCAGACATTCACTCTGTCGAGACAAGAAAAAGAAAAATCACCTGTTAAGTAACCTGTCTGCTTCATGAGAAAATGAGATGTTAATACAGATGTAAAGGTGTAAATATCACAATTCTGGTGTGTAGAATAGCAGATTGATATGTAAAGCTGAAGCAATGAATAAATAAATAAAATATAAAAATAAAATGAAATGAAATAAAAAATTTAAATAAAATAAAATAAAATTGAAGTAGATAAAACAAAACAAAATAGATAAAATAAGATAAAATATAACAAAAAATAAAATGAAATAAAAAACATAACTTTGTATAATATACAACATTTCTGATAATTCTAAAAAAGCATTTAAAAAGAAGCTAGTGTGTAACTACCTCACTGAAGGATGAACTTCTCGGTGCATTGCAGCCTGGGTTCTGTGGGGTAAAAACATTTTGAGCATGAGCCATTTGTTTTACCGGACAAGTCAGGTGCTCATAAGCATTTTTGGACCACACACTTAATTCAGTAGGACTTTTACCAACTAAAAATTAAAGAAACTGAGCTGAAATGATGAGGCTTGAAGCTGTGTTCATAAACATTTTTTTCCTGGTTTTAAAAATGTAAAACTTTGCACAAAAAGACTTATTCAGATCTATATTATCCTTGTACAAAAAGCAAATACAATTCAAAGTTAACAATGATTTGATCATTTATATCACTGATAAACACCTGAGTCAGAGCGGGTGCGCAGGCCTGTACTGTCTCAGCTGTGCTCGTCATCTCCATGTCAGCAGTAGGGATGCCATGGCAAACACTCTGGAATACAAAACAAAGATATTAATCAGTAAAAGAAAGGCAGAAAACAAATTAAATACAGTATTACAGTGTAAACGCGGTGCAGTGAATTGTACTCACACTGTTGAGCAGTCCTTTAATATCCAGCTGGAGGCTCTTGAAGAGCGATGAGCACTCCTCGCATTTCTCTGTGCTCAGTGAAGGCACCGGGAGTCCTGTGGATGTGCGCCAGCTCAGGATCAGCAGCAGCGCACAGCTGGCGAAGTCTGCATGGCGAGAGAATAATAACCATCAACACATGCGTCTTATGGGTTTACACAAATGTTTGCATGACAAAATACAGCAGAGTTAAAAAAAAAAACAAACTACAGTATTCCAGTCTGTGTGTGGGGCTCGCTGACTTACAGAGATTAAAGACTGCCATCTCTCTGATCAGATATCTCAGGTCTGTGTGGTAAATCAGTAGCACTGTGCTGCAGCTCTCTTATCTGATTGTTTTTATATGCATTTTCGGGGGATTCCCTCAGTCGGCCAGCAAAAAGAAAACTAAAACGTCATACGTAATTTCCTTGTTGATCTTCCAGCACACGTTGGTTGAAAGACAAAAAAACGGGAAGTGGCGTTATTTGTCTCATCTTTTAGAGAAAGCAACTCATTGTGATGCAACTGAGTATAAAATTAGATCCAAAACAATTTACGGGTTTGCACGTGTATACTGACTTGAATTAGGATTTCTTAGAATAGGGGGGGTCTTATAATAGCTTACATATATCTTCTATTATTGAGAACATCTTCTTTTGCATTTACCCCCCCCCCCCCAAAAAAAAAAAAAAAGATTAAATTGACCAATAAAATGAGAGATTAGTGCAGATTTGCAGAAAGCAGCTGGGAGATAGAAACATCACCGACATTAATAGTATATGATGATAAATTAACATTAACATTGAAACAAATACATATATTGTGTATGTGAATCTACAAAATATGCTCCAAAACAGAGAAATTTTCTCATGCGACCCTCTAAGAGTGACATCACAGTGGAATTTCTGTGTGACACTTTGTGCCTGTGCTGTCAGCACAGTGGGAGGAGTAAATGATGGCAAACCTGCTTAGTGAAGTCATTCTTACTTTGGCTGATTATAATAAGTCACGGTAATTTAGTGATAATTACAAGACACTGCGGGGCTGTAGCGGTAAATTAAAGGGCGGTTAAACCCAGGCTCATCGCATCAAGGGGACCAGACAGTTGATATGGGACCCTTACTCACTTCTGGTGTTTCATTCACAAGATGATTATTGTTTGGTGCTGCAACTTTCACACACATAACTGCAAGAAACGGTATACATCCTGTCTGACTGTCTCTGTACCATACATGGCCGTATGCAGGGTTTCGGGAATATTGAGGTCCAGAAACTGAGCTTGTAGGGGAGGTTTGGGGCAGCCCCTCTCCCTGAAAATATTAATTTCCCTCATCTATATATGTGCAATTTAGGATGTTTGGAGAGAAAAACATTGGCTTACAAAAGCTTTAAAACCATGCCAGTGGTAGGGTGGGGACAAAAATTGATACAGCATAGTATTGCGATATCGTTTCGTCACACCGTGCCAAGTATAGATTTTTATTATTGTCTTAATTATTAATATTACAAATACAAAAGCTTAAACTTTAGCCCACTATAATAATATAATCAAGTGCTTTTTCAGTCCACTACATAAATTTTGCTGCTGGAAAAAATGGCTGAGGTGAGTGGAACAGGCTGAAAACGTATTGGATACAACAAATGTTGACAAAGTTTTGCTTTGGGGACATAATTTACAGTTGAGAAAAAAGGTAATAAATCGCAATTTATTTTACTCGTGATAATACAGTATTGTGGATCTTCTGGTGATTCCCACCCTTTGTCAGTGGGCAGTCATTTTTTAATTTTCTTAATTTTTACACACTTTATTAAAATTAATTTTTTTCACTCCATTGTCAATTACACACAGGTCCGAAATACACACATGCACTAAGTGGAGAGATGTCAGAGTGAGGGGGTTGCCCTTTCTCAGGAAGTGAGCTGGCACCTCTCCAGCTACCAGTCCACACTCCATATTTGGTCCAAATGGGGACTTGAACAGACGACCCTCCGCTTCCCAACCCAAGTCCCTATGAACTGACAGTGACAGATGATCTGTAAAATAATGGTGGCATTTGCTTGAATGTACTGTGGCGCAATGAAAACAACCAATGAAAGCGGAGGAGTCTCTAACGCAGCTATCAATGATGTCAATCACTGCTCATGAACTGTGGTCACACTAAGCGGTGCTGATTTAATATGAGTCAAGATTCTGTCACTGCATTCCCTGTTTCTAGCCTCAGATGTTTTCCGAAACATGTTTTAGAACACTGTTTAGCTGTAAAATGAGAAAGCTGGTTTGACCTGGGGGCGGTTTTTAGTTTTTGGCTTGACTGTATGCAGCATGATGGCTGGGTCGCAAAGTTTCTCATTTTACAGCTAAACAGTACACTAAAATATGTTTCTGAAAACATTTGTGGTGAGAAATGGGCAATGCACTAACAGAGTCTTGATACATATTTGATCAGCGCTGCCTAGTTTGACAGCTTGACTGTAGTTCACAAAAATTGTGTGACTCCTTGGCTCCTATTGCTTGTTTTTGTTCAGGTGCAGTCTTGCCATTAAAAGTGCTATCAGGCAATAAAGTAGGTAGAGAAATGTAGTTTTTTTTCACGGACTGTTTTATCTGGATATGGCAAAAGTTGCCAACTACAGCTTTAAATGTTGCAATGAATGATCCACAGAACAATCTGAAGAGGACAGACTGATCACAAAACATTTGAAAACATGTTGACAGTGTTTAATTAAAGTGTTAGGGTGAAGGGAAATGGAGACTATAGACAGACCCCATTCAAATCTAATCATGACCATCTCTCTCACTCTTGCCTGTCCCTGGCTATGTGACCCGTCATTTGTCTCTCCTGACAAAATGTATTAATTTAATACTATCAGTAACACTTTATTTGGATAGCCAACCTATAGATCATTTATAGAGCATTTGCAACATCTCAACATCTTATTGAGATTCAACAGTTCTGTTTGGTAGAGGTTGAGTGAATAGTTTAATTTCAATTCAACTATTTTTGAGAATTTTATTTTATTTATTTATCAAATATTTAAACCGGTAAGTCTTGTTGAGATTAACAGTCTCTTTTATAAGGGAGACCTGGCCAAGACAGCAGCACACAAAAAGTTACAGCTAAACAACCACACAATAAAAAACATAAAATAGACACATTAATAAGTAGAAATATTAAAGCACTGACGCACAATGACAAGACCCAACCGAGGCATTCATCCTTGTACTTATGAGAGCTCTAAAATCAGGCAGAGAGACCAGTTCACGTAGTTTCCCTCTTTCTAAAGGTTCTTACAAGTGAGAGGAGCAGAGCACATGAAAGCTTTCTTTCCAAGCTCAGTCCGTGCACTCGGAACAGACAATGAAACTAAGTCTTGAGATCTCAGACTGTAGCTACAGTCAGATCTCTGTTCAATCAAAGTCATATCACATGTTACATATACGGTAAAGATAATCTGTTAAACACTGACAGAATTAAGCAAAACAGTTGAACTGTTGAAACTCAGCCATAGACTGTATAATAAATGATGGATGTAGCTAGTCACCCAAAGTCACCCATTGGTTGGTGGACACTTGTTTTGAAGCCCTGGCATTTTGAACTCCCCCCCTTATACAGTTGTCATGAATGTTGATATTAGCTATGACTTATTGCTGTTGTAAAGTTGGGCATTTTAACATGAGGGTTTGTGGAGTCTGACTGGCTTCTGGTGCCAGCCTCAAGGGGATGTTCAGGGGAGCTGCAGTTTTTGGCACTTCCCTGTTGATTTCACTTTTCAGCGGCAGAAGTTGTCGCTTGTTAGTGGCCCTGAGGCTGTAATTAGCTAACTCAGTATTTTGCACTAAATGCTAACTTGAGCATGCTAACATGATATCAAGTTTTTTAGCACTTTGCTTTGGCTTCGCTTCTCAGCCCCAGAGGTTGCTGCTTGATCTTGATCTTAATCATAATAATAAGCTGTTAAAATGCTGTAAATAGTCTTTAAGCTATTTGTAGGTGGATCCAAATAAAGTGTGACCATAAGATTATATACACCTTATTTATTTCATAGTCGTGTTTGCATCATTTTGAATTTGGATTATAGAACTGTGTCAAACAGGCTACATAAGCAAACTGTGTTATACAATAATTCATTTAGCATATACAACAGCTGTACTCTGGCAACCTGTCCAGGGTGTACCCTTCCTCTCACCCAATGTCAGCTGGGGTAGGCTCCAGCCCCCTGTGACCCACTTAAATTATCATTATCATTATTTGGTGATGACATTAAAATGTCAATGGAAACATCTACTTCCATGACAAATGGGCATGTGATATGAATGAAAGCTGCAGCATTGCACAAGGCTCATAATGAGAGTAATGAGAAATTCTCCTTATCAGGACCTGTGATCCACTTATTGTGTTTGACACGCTTAAGGAAGTGCACTTTCTGAAACTGCCGTGGTCACTGAGTGCTTGACAGGAGTTTCCTGGCCTTTCTCTTACTTCACCGTTGCATCATCAAAGACTGAAACTTACCATCACTCTCTAAACACAGAATATAACCAGGGAGAGGACCCACGGTGAGAGAGGAGGGAATTTCTCAGAGAGACAGTTACTATATTTTACACGAGAAATACCATTCATTACTAAATCTCACAAGCATCATTTCAGTGCATTTATACCTTGAACCACAACTGACCATTGATGGTATTCAGTCCACAAGCTGTCATTTTTCACGTGAAAGAAAAATTCCTAATTATGACTTAAAAGGGGTTATCCATATTAATATTTAAGAGCAGTAAAACCAACCCACATATGAGAGTGAGAGATAAACTGTCATGATAAGGCAATACCGAAACAGAGGGAGTTGAGTCATGCTACGTGTAATGTGGCTATGCTTTATATTCTCGCTGCAGTTGCGACCGCTGATTACACTTCCTATGTTCATTAGAAAGAGGAAGCTTGTTCCAAAAGCAAATTCATTCAGCTGTCTTGCAGCAACACATTTCCAACATATTGCACAACAAACCGACATATATGAAACAAAGTTTATTCTTTATTTTACATATCTGTACATAAACATTTCTTCCCTCAAATAAAGTTTCTGATTACAGTAGGATGAAAACGATATTAACACACTTATTCATTTAAAATGACTCGTGTCAGAAAATCAACATTCACAAAATGTTGAAGAGCAATTAGAGTGAACGTATTACCAAAAGCTACGACTCCACTACAAGGCAGGCATGTTTCCTTTACACTCTTTTAGCACCTTCAAATAAACATTTCTCAGTTGAAAACTACCATTTGTGCAGAATAAAAACAGGTCGACTTTGAAATACTTTAAAATTACTGTCCAACTTAAAATGGTCTGAAGAAGTTAGTTTCCATCTGTTTTTTTTTTTTATACAATGTTGTTTCTTTTTTTCTCATGACTGACTTTCTACTTAAATTTTTCACTATTATTTTATTTTTTCCCACAATTTTTGCATTTGACAGTTATAATTTAGTGGCGAATGTAGAAAGTTAAAAAGAAACAGTAGCAAAGCAAGGCCGATCACTGCACAGGAAGCTGGGGACAGAATCCATGACAACACACAATCAGTTTCCTCTTCTCCCAGGAAGCAGGAAGTGCTCCTCCATCC